ATATTGAAAAATAAAACATTTTTAAGTGATCATTTTCAAATTTATTCCACAATGCATCATATTTTTTTTGGAGTCTTGCTTTTGAAGAACATGCCTTTTCATGCGTCTGTACTCGATCAGCAGTGAAATGACGGCCACAATATCGGCAATTCACAAGAGTTTCCAAAAAAAATATCCCACATTCTGTCGAAAGTTCCTTGGAAATCAATATTTCCAGTTTCTGAAAAAGAAATCGATAAAAAACGATGCACATCAATAGTAATATATGATCAACACGACCAGAAACTGACCGCAGTGGCAGAGGAACAACAGTATTAAAATATTATGAGATAAACTGCATTATATAATATATATTTATATAATATATATAATGAATATAATGTGTATGAATATTTAGTTACATTCATATGAATGATTATTAATTTGGAATTCGTAAATTTAAAGAAACGTGCCAAAATCCATATAATTTTTACGTGCACACGTGTATTGAACCCTATTATATTAGACGAAAGACATTTGTGTTGAATAAAAACTTTATTTTTTTTATATACAGTTATTAAAATTATTATATAGGAAAAATATTTCTAAATACGCCACAAACAACATGCTATATATTATTTACAATCTTTACTATGTACAAGAAATTGAGCATAAAAATATCATACAATATATCTCTAATTCTATGTACACAAATTTCAGCACCTCTATCTTTGAAGCAGATGCAAGTCAAAATAACACAATGAAATTTCATGTTTTCAATATTTTTGATGAAGGCAACTTTTTTCATGAATAGGTAGCCGTTCAGGATTAAAAGTTCTACTACAATAGCGACATGGCACCAGTTGTCTCAGATGATTCATCCAGTACGAATCAACAACATCTTCACGTTTCGAAACTTGCTGCCTTTTTATACTGCAAAAAAATGAATTATTAAATAATCTTACCTCACCTGTAATCACCTATATAAAACAATCATGCATATATTTTTATATAACAATTTACTCAAGTTGAAATGAAGGATAAAAACAATTTGCTTGTAATTTTTTACTCTACAATTATTTTGTATATCTTTAATATCAGACATAAATTTGACTTAAAAATGTATACTTTGAATATATAAAAATTAAAATTTGAATAAAATAAAATATTCTTAAAAAAATCATAAATAATACTTACCTTTAATGGAATTTAGTTCACAATTATTACTAACACGAACATAAACATTCACAAAAAATAAGTATTATTTAAAACTAAAACTGGAACAGCATACGCAAATTGTAAGATATAGTAATATAAATTACATTTGTGGAACATAACAGAAAATTTAAAAAAACAAAACGTATAAACAAAGTAAAATTCATTTCTGTATAATGGACATTCTATAACTAATAATTGATAATATAATACTCTATTAACTTTGGTGACAACTCTCTTTTCAATGCGTTGAACCCCGTTAAGACGATTATGCTTAATGCAATTCTTGCATAATATGACCCGATCTCGCTTAAAACGCAATTTTTGGTCGGTTCTTAACAGGGTTTTACTCTTTCTCTCTCACTTATCTTATTAAAGCTTTTTAAATATGAGTTTCCCTGTTAAGTGTTTGAAAATAATGAATTTAGAATTCAAGATAATGGACATGAATTTCACTTACTAGTAAATCTTGTATCTGGTTTTCGTGGTTCCTTTTCCTGTTTGTCTTTAGGCAGTAGCTCGTTGTGCCTTCTCCAATCTTCTGCACACATCTCTTCATGGGCGTTGATTTCGGATGTAGGCAATTCCACGCCGCACAAATAACACTCTAAAGCCCACGGTCTTGGAGGTGCTGAAAAATAATTATTGATTCAGGAATTAAATTTTGATATAAAAAAGATAAATAATTATAAAGATAACATAGAAGTTAAATATAAAACAATGTTTTTTAATCCATTACCCTGAGGTTTCCGCCATCGCTGAAGTTGCAACGGAAGTTTAGTTTTGTTCGCCGGTATCAAATTTTTTCCTTCATCCAAGATTTTGTTACCATCTTTACGCAAATTAGGTCTTAATGGAGATTTTAACAAGCGCGAATCCGATGAATTTCGTGATGGGCTCTTTATGTCATCATTGTGAAAATCTGAAAATAAATGATACCGAATATATATCATATATAGACTAAAGGAATAAATAGTATATTCTTTATAAATCGAATATTAATATCGACCTTTTATTGATTAATAAAAAATATGCATTTGAAAATCAATTAAAAAATTCATTTGAAATTGTCAAAAACGGACAGAGTTAGCAGAAAATTTGGAAGAGCATAAGTGTTATGTCGAGTTTCGTTATATGTGATCGAAAGCCAAAATATTTAAAAAATTTAAATTTTACACGTTTTGTTTTCAACAAAATAGCTTTTATAGTTCTTTAACGTGGAGCCCGGTGCAACAAAAGTAGAGCTTTTAAATACAATTCATTAGCAATTCCCTTTCACGTAATATATTATAGAAACCCCGACCTAGTTTATCGATTATAAAAGAAGTCAGTGGGGCAAAGCGTTTAACTGACTGAATAATACATAAACTAACAGCTTGTAGAAAAAGCACAGGTGTATGCAAAAAATTCAACAAACTTTACAAAAGCTTTTTTTTATTTTACCACAAATACGAAAAGATTTGTTGTTCTGTGTTTATAAATTAATTAATTATGATTCACAAGATCAACATTATAATAATATTCTGTAGTGGGGTGCACGGCATCGTGCCTTAAGGCAAATTGCTAAAACTTTCCGTACCGTAATTAAAAATCTTGGTACGGAACCCAAAAAAAACTAGTGAGGTGTATGGCATCGTGCCTTAAGGCAAATTGCTGGAACTTTCCGTACCGTAACGAAATGTTCGAGGAATATTAAATGTTTTCAAATAGATTATTATGAATATTGTAACATTGTCTAATATTTATAAGAATTATATAAACTGAATTGCAAAGTTGAAATTATTTGTTTAAAGTATATTAGAACTATAGTCAGAATTAAAAATGAAATCTGAATTATTTTCTATATACAAAAAAAAAAATGTTGAAAAAAAAAATAAATAAAAAAAAAGTTTATACAAAAATTTTTTTTTCCAAAATCAATTATTTTATTAAGACAAGCAGAAAGTTTTTTGAATCATTTAAATCGGACGCTTAGTTCTCTCAAAAACTGCCATTTTTTACACATTTAGCTCCGTATCTTCGAAATGGCTGGGCCTGCCTTTGCCAAAAACTAATAAACACTTTTCCCAATCATTACTAATTGAATGTTTTTTAGATTATTCAAATCGGATGCTCCGTTCTCTCAAAAACTCGATTTCTATTTTCTGCACTCTTTGCTCTTTATCTCCGTAACGGCTAGACCTGCCTTTGCCAAAAACTAATCAGCACATCTCCCTATCAACAGGAATCGAACGTTTTTTGAACCATTCAAATCGGTTGATCCGTGTGCCCGAAAACGTGACTGGAAATTTGTATCCATACATACATACAAACACACACACATCCATTTTTCTGAGGTATGCCAAAATGTTCAGAAACCTTCAAAACGTCGAGAAATGTAAAATTTTTCAATTTCGATTTTCGGCCCATTACAATAACTTACCCTACGCGAAGTTAATTACACAAAATGAGTGCACATTATTAAAATCTCTACAAAATATCTGATAATTTGATGTACATATGTCCAATAAACATTTTTGACCATTAAATGACATTTTTTTAACTTATTTTTATTGAGAGTCCATAACCGCTGGACCAGTCTTACCAAAAATTTAATTTGTCAATACAAGTGAAATGTTTTTTGAATTATTAAAATCGGACGATCCGTTCTCTTAAAAACTGTGTTACCGTTTTTGGCACTTTTTGCCCCGAATCCTGACCTGACTTCGCCAAAAACTAATCAGCACGTCTCCTTATCAATACGAATCAAATGTTTTTTTAATTATTCAAATCGGTTGATCGGTGTTCCCAAAATCGTCGACAAAAATTTGTATCCGCACACACAGACACACACACACACATACATTACCCAGACAGAAGACCAGTCTGAGATGCATAAAGGCATTTCCTTCGCTATACAAAAAAAAACACACACACACATACATCCATTTTTTCTAAGGTATGCCAAAATGTTCAAGAACCATTGAAACGTAAATATATATAAAATTTTCATTTTCGATTTTTTTTGCGATTACTATAACTTACCCTACGGGAAGTTAAAAATTCAAATTTCTCACCCAAGCTCCGTCTCCTCCGCGGCTCCGGCCTTCGTTCCGATTCCGGTAGCTGATCGTTGCGTCTCCGCCACGCGGCTAAACATTGAGCTTCGTGTTGTGCGAGCGAACGCGACGTAACCGCCCGCTCGCACACGATGCATTTCGACACGGACGCAACAGGCTGAGCGGGTGCACTGCAACTGCTGCTTACCCCGCTGACAGGGCCTGGATCGATGCTCGAGTCTCTAGTTGTCTGAAAGGAAACTAGCTGTAAGTGGAATTCTGTCTTAAGGCAATTAAGGCATCGTGCTTAAGGCAAATTGCTGGAACTTCCCGTACCAAAAATTATTATTTTTTTAAAAACGTTTGACATTTAAAAAAAAAATTACTTCGAAAAAATAAGATTTTTGAGAAACTATAAATTTGACAAAAATTACTTTTTAAAAAAAAAATTTTTTTTTTGAAAACAAAATTTTTTTTGAAAAGAAAAATATTTTCTTCATTTTGACATATTTTGGAAATTCTGATTTTTTTTTCAAAGCAATCGTATTGCTTGAACTGCATAGAGACAAAATATAAAGCGCGTAAGCGCCGCGTCGCTGTCTAACGGGTAAACATTGGTACGGAACCCAAAGGAATGTAAACAAAATTTATACTTATTGTTAAAATCTCTATAAAATATCTGATAATTTGATGTGCATATGTCTAATGATCATTTTTGACTGCCAGATGGCATTTTTTTTTACTTTTTTTGTTACATCTCCGAAACCGTTAGACCTGCCCTCATGAAAATTTGATCAATTCTTCATCTTGTCAATACAAGTAAAATGTTTTTTGAATTATTCAAATCGGACGCTCCGTTCTCTTAAAATCTGAGTTACCGTTTTCGGCATTTTTTGCCCCGTATCTTCGGAACGGCTTGACCTGCCTTTGCCAAAAACTAATCAGCACGTCTCCTTATCAATACGAAACGAATGTTTTTTGAATTATTCAAATCGGTTGATCCGTGTTCCCGAAATCGTCGACGAAAATTTGTATCCGCACATACATACACACACGTACATACACACACACACACACATACATCCATTTTTTCTAAGGAATGCCAAAATATTCAGAAACCTCTGAAACGTAAAGATATATAAAAATTTTCATTTTCGATTTTTTTGCGATTACTATAACTTACCCTACGGGAAGTTAATAATCTAAAGTTTTAAAAGATTATTATATACTCGTCAATTGAATTTTGTGAACTATAAGACTAAACTCGCTTTTCTGGCTGTAATAATTTAGGTTTTATGAATTATTTAACTAACCTGATGCTTTTGTGGCTTGCACGATCGCAAATGAATTTCTAAACGATCAGGTAGAAATGTCCTCCCACAATGTTCACATGGCAATAACGATTTCTAAAACAAAAACAATGATGTGAGTTGAATATGTAAATAATCAATATTTAGAGCTCGTACAGCATCAATTTATTACACGCACGTATTGCATTATATTATTTATGTATAGATATAGACATATATATATATATACAAATTATTTTTTTAATTTCTCTGGCTATTATTATTTATGATTTTATTTTTCTGAACTAAAAGCCACTTATTTCTAAAAAACACATTTGCTTAATTTTTTTTATTTATAAATATTTTTTTCTTCAGGCACTACAAAAAAATTCTTTTTCTCAACTAAAAGCTCACTAAAAATCAAATGTTAATTTACTAAAAACTATAACTAAAAATACCTAGACCTTTAGATGCTTTCTACTATGAGTACACAAGAAATACGACATAGTACGTATGAAATGAAAATTAAACAAATATTTTTTGACACTGAAAAAAAAGTATATTATATATATATATATCTATATTATATATATATATATGTCTGTGTATACATACATGTAAGCTAGTTATTTGTAGTGTCTAAATTGCAAATTTTTGTAATGGAACATAGTGATTTTATGTCACTATACGTGTTTCTTTAATTTACTTGATATTCGAGCAAAAAAAAACACTTTTAAAGCCATTTTCATAATAATATTTTGTTAGAAATATATATTTTCTATTTTATTTAAATTATATATGATGTAAACCATAAAATGCTGACTTCTCAATGAAGTATAATTTTTATATATTATATATATGAAACCCTTAAATGGTAATGTAACAATCCCTGGACAAAAATAGAGCGCGTTCTATTTATAAAATGATCTCCTCAAGTTCAGTAAGATGCTTATACCGCAGGATGATGTGTGTAAATGTGTTTTTACTTTATTTGAATTTCGTTTAACTTTTGTAAGAGATATTCTAAATTCTATAATATTAAATTTTTGTTTATAAATATTGTGTTTATTGTAACAAAATGCATAGGGTTGTAGAGAAAAGCTCACACCGCGAAATGGTTACAAGGTGTCCTTGATGATGTGTAATGTGGGTGATTCAACGCGCACGCGACTGCAATTACCATTGTATAATCATAAAACTTGATCTATCCACAAGCAAACCAAACCCAATGTGGGTCAAATGCGAACAAATAATTATTAACATTTGGCGATTCATTGACAATTTAATTCAATACTGTACATTCGCAATTGCAATGTCTGGACAAAATTTATAAAAATCAAGATAAATGCTTATGGATGCATGTTCAAATTTTGACTAATAGCTCATAAACATTTCAAATAACATCGGTACCTACTTGAATAAGCAGACAACATACTCAAATATACACGTAGGTTTTGAAAACAATCTTGACCATAGATAAAAGAGATACAATGATATTACCATGGATTATTTTAAATTTTATTATGAACGAATAATCTTCAATTCTTTAATTAGAATTTGTTAAAAATATTACATAGTTAGAACAATATTGTACTAAATGCTTTTTCAAATTCAACATTTCATTAAAAAATAGAACCGAAGATAAATGAAATATTTATCATATTTCACAAATTATTACTAAAAAACGCAAATATTGAATAAGCATAGCAAAAATAATGCAATTAATTATTACCAATAATTATTTTTTTCTACAGCTTAATTAATAATATCCAATCCAAAATAATAACCAATAATTATTTTTTTCTATAGCTTGTGTTACAAATATATTATAAATTAATAGAATCGCATAATAAAAAAAAATTACATACTTGCGAAACTTTCCAAGCCATATTATTATACTCCAAAGCTGATAAATTGGCTGGTGGCTTCTCTGGCATAGGCCTTCGTAAATGTGCTGGCAAATACGCGTTTTCTCTTTCCCAGCGCTAAAATGATATTCAAATATTTTATTTGATATTTAAATATGTATATGCATAAATTGTCTTTAGGAAATTTGCGTAATTTACCGATATATGAATATAAATCCTATACAATATAACACGACTTTGAATCTTAAATGAAATCTGGCCAAAACCAATTTCCAAATTATTTTAAATTTTTTAACACTATTGAACGAAATGTCTGAAATGGCTTTTACATTTCCAAAAAGTATTACAAACATTGTTGAAATACATTAACAAATGTTTACACAAATCTAATTAAAATGATGACCATGGTTTCATCATATGAATTTTAGATTTTTAAAATCGCGGAGATGTTTTCGAAAAACAATGGACAAAAGAAAAGCTTATACTCTTATATTTTGAATTATTCTTCATTGTTCTAAATGTGTGAACAGAATATTTTAAGCTAAACATTGAACTTCTACTTCAGGTCGCTAAAAATTCACTGTTTAGTTCAAATTTAATGAGTAAAACGCAATAATAGAAAATAGAACAAGATAGAAAGGACATTAAGTAATGATATAATTAACATCGATTGTAGTAAAGTATTTAATTATTAAAATTGGTAAATTATTTATTACCTCCCGGCACCTTGGTTCATGCAGGTGTAATGACGCTGTTCCAAATTCTCTTCCGCATAAATAGCACGTCAATGTACGTGGCCTAAGTGATTGGATCAAATTGCCCTTAAGTTTATGAGCTTCCCTATGAGATTGCAAAGGAGATGTCTGGTGTGCTGATGTTTGTGATTTTGCTAATCTAAAAGAATAAAGATACAGAGATTACTTACCATCGTATACCTCAAATTTATCTCATTTATAAATTAACTTAACATATAACACGTAATATTCCATTTAGAAATGCTTGAAACAGGTATATGTTATGATTTGCATTTATTACAATGCTTGAGAATTAATGTAATAATAATAACTTTATGAATTTTACACGCCTGCAAATCAAATCAAATATACAAACATAACATAGTTGTTTGTTTAAAGTTAGACGAACTCATGCATGAAAGAATAAACAAATAATATTTTCATGAATTATGTCTCGACTGAGAACAAATTTTTACTAGTTAACTGTGGCGCTCTTATTGAACTACGCACACAGTTTTGTATTGTAAAAATCGAGGTAAAATATTATTTTGAGGTAAAATACGACTTACAACTATCTATTTCATTCCGACATAGCCTCAAAATATTCTAAATATATTGAAATCTAATAAAATTTCATTTTTTTTAAATTACAATCTAAATACCCATTGGCCAAAGATTTATTCGCATGATGAGTATACTCATCAATACACAAAATCCATGTCTTCTATTGACCAATGAACTCTTCATGTCTTCATGAGAATTCATTAATCAATAATTTTTGTTATAATTGCTGTAATCTCTCATACCAGAACAATTGTCTGACTGAGATACAGTATGTATGAATTATATCAAATAAATAAATAAAAAAAATAAAAAAAACATAACTGCTTATTAAGCACTCATTTAAAATTAAGGATGAAAACACTTATTAGTAACAAATTTCTTATTCAAATTTGCATAAAAACCAAAAAAAGAAGGTTCATATTTCCAAAACAGCATTTTGTGCCTTATCATGAGATCAAACAACAACTTTACAATTAGTGTTAGTAAAATCAGATTATGAACTTCCCGTAGGGCAAGTTATAGTAATCGCAAAAAAATCAAAAATAAAAATGTTTATATATCTTTACGTTTCAAAAACTTCTGAACATTTTAGCATACATTAGAAAAAATGGATGTATGTGTGTGTGTGTGGATACAAATTTTCGTCGACGATTTCGGGAACACGGACGAAGCGATTTGAATAATTCAAAAAACATACGATTCGTGTTGATAAGGAGACGTGCTGATTAGTTTTTGGCGAAGGCAGGTCTAGCCGTTCCGAAGATATGGGGCAAAAAGTGCCAAAAACAGTAACTCAGTTTTTAACGCGTCCGATTTGAATAATTCAAAAAACATTTCACTTGTATTAACAAGATGAAGAACTAATCAAATTTTCATAAAGGTAGTCTAGCGGTTTCGGAGATCTAGTTAATAAAGTAAAAAAAATGCCATTAGGCGGTCAAAAATGATTATTAGACGTATGCACATCAAATTATCAGATATTTTATAGAGATTTTAACAATAAGTATAAATTTTGTTTACATTCCTATGGGTTACCAATGTTTATCCGTTAGACGACGACGCGGCGCTTACGCGCTTCGATATTTCGTGTCTATGCAGTTAAAGTAGTACGATTGCTTTAAAAAAAAGTTCAGAATTTCCAAAATATTTCAAAAGAAATTTTTATTCAAAAAGTCTTTTTTTTTCAAAAAAAAGTAAGTTTTTGTCAAAAAAGCTAATTTTTTCAGAGAATTTTTTCTTCAGAAATGTTAATCTTTTTAAAAAAAATAATTTTTGATACGGGAAGTTCCAGCAATTTGCCTTAAGGCACGATGCCATGCGCCCCACTAGTATTATTTATTATCTCACCTGGGACTAGCCCTAGGCGTTGCAGCTGTGCTGACCGATTCCGAAGGTGATTTGTTATTCTGCTGCAAAGTTGATCGCTTTAAATTTCGATTTCGACTTCCAATTCCCAGAGACGCCGTTGGAATTGAAGAAACATTACCTGTGGTGCTCCCGTTCCGGCCGTGGCTGTGAAACCGTTCCGGAAGATCGTTACGGCCACATGTCCTAGGAGAAAAAAAAAATAAAAATATTTTACTAAATGAATTTTTTATTAATGTGAAATATTGAGTCACACATATAATATAACTAAAATATTGGGTCCTACATATAAGGTAAGTAAAATTAAACATGTATTTATTTTAAATAATTTTAATTCAATTATCATTAAATAAATACTATTAAATTTGGCACCTAATTAAATAATCTCTAAATATAAAGATGGTAAAAAATGTTCAAATAGTAGAATTACCTATAATGCCCTCCAATCTTCATATATTTATCTTAAAACTAAATTCTTATGATATGGTGGAATATAAAAATGTCAAATATGCAATTTATTTTGAACATCATACTCATGACATTCTTGGATCAAATATTTGTTTGCGTATGTAATGATTAAAATATCTACAGTACAAGTATGTATACAAAAAATACTGTTGATATCTATATAAGGTAATAATTATAATAATATATTTTCTAATTCTCTAATAATAAATAATTCGTAGATTTGCACGAGATGATATTTTTTTAAATAATTGTTAAAAGCTTACTTGTACATTAACAAATTTTCAAGATATTTTTTTTCTGAAATACTATTTTTTCTAGTTGAAGGTTTATCAAAGTTACTTACTTGCAAGGTTCTGGAATATGTTGCTTTAAATGTGGCACTGAAAATACTTCCCTAGGCGTTTTATTACTTAATAATTTATTATTTTTTTGCCCCCTTTTTCGTAATGTACTTATTTCACAATCACTGTCCAATCCTTTGATTGTTGTATCAGTGCTACCAGAAATTTGGGATCGTGGTGATAGAGAATTTTCCTTTGAACAAAGTTTATATTCAAACTTCAAATTGATAATTGAATTCTTTAAAATGTAATATAACTTACCCCTGTCGCTATGGTGTAATTACTGTCGGTTCTGTATTTGGGACTTGATAGAGCTGATGAATCCGAATCGGCGGTCATATTTAATCTCAGATTTTTTCTATTTTTGTTTCTTACAATTGTTTCTGATCTCCAAGATTCATCACTGGAAGGAACCTAAAAATAATAAAATTTCCAATATTTTATGTAAATCACGGTATCAAACTGATTGTTTTGCTTTATACTTTTATTGAATATTTCACCTTAAGATGTTGCATAGAAACACTGGCTCTTTTCCTCTGTGGATTGGGCCTGACATTGTGATTTGTTGTTTCCGATAGTCGTTTCCTTGCCGAAGGCCTGCATAGATTACTAATGTTGAGCAGCTCTTTTCGAACAAGCGACATGTCTACTTTTTCTAGAAATGCAATGTCTAGTAAGAGTGGTCGCTCCAGAGTTGCCGTTCGGGGCCTCGGTGGACGTGCACCCGACTTTTTTCTTTTTTCTACCTTTAGCGGCCATGTCGTCATGCCCAACCCTAGGTAAAAGATATATGAAAAAAAAAAGAACTTTTGATAATTATGAGCATTTTTGCTATTTAGTATGTGTGTGAGAAAAGGTACAAAAACAGGGATATTAAAAAATTCTAAGTTTCTTACCATTATTACCGTTTCTCATGGTATCAGTTCCGTTCGCCATGTCGTAAGTCCCATCTGGCGATCCAGGAGTCACTTGTAATTTTGGCAGCGAATACAGAGATCTGCTGAATGTAGTCGTACCAGTATAAGTGATTGCACAGAGACCCCCCTCATTCCCACAACCATTAATATCACGAACCCTCATTGTTAAACCAAAATATAAAAAACCCCAAGACCTTTTGAATTTAAAATAAACATTTTTCCTAAACTAGAAATTTTTGTCGTCGTAGGCAACCATTTCCATTTACGTCAAACGGACAGAGGATCCGAGTAAGATATTTTGTTTTTTTTCTAGGGGTATTTATCTTAATGATATGTTGGCTCCGGTGACTGATGGTTGACTGAGGAAAGGCTCCCGGGGAGTATGACATGTTCTGGTGCAATTAGATATTTTTATAAGAGCACGTGGATCAGTTCAAGGTTATGTTATTGTGTAGATTAGAAATCGCGATGTTAAAATGATACGAGATAATTGATGCGATATCGATGAATGCACGCACCCCCATCATATAAAGGTATGTCCACATTCTAAATAAAAACCACATACGGATATTTAATACATTTTTTTGAAAGGCAATGACATACATTATTTTTTAAATTTGACATATTTCATATGCTGATCATATTGTTTGTCACATTGAAAACTACTTATATTAAAATATTAATATAACTTGATATGCACATTGTAAAAATATATCATCAGACTCATAGTTAAAATTTTGAGAGAACTTAAAGTGGAATATTCATTGTTATTATCAGCCTTCGATAAATTAAACCATTTAATGTAAAAACTATAGTAAACGATATATTAAACTATATAGTTAAATTATTCCAATTAATTAAATTACAAATTTCTAATTATTTTAATGAATAAAAGCTCAAATTTCTTCATATCTTAGTTTTTTTCTTTATGATTAAATGAATAGGAGTAGGTACTACATTTAAATATTAAAATTATTACATTGTTAAAAAATTCCTTATATTGCTGATTATATTATTTAAAACAATAAGTAAATAAAGAAAATTATACATTAATGTATTACCGATTTTTTATATAAGTTTTAACATAAGAACATTTAACAGTTAGAAGTTAAGGCAAAAGGGTTGAATCGTTGATAGGACATGCCTTTAGGAATATCGTGTTTGATTTTAATCCAATAAAAATAATTTGTGTCGAATTACCTATGGAAATAAAATATTCGTGGATAAATTACATTCGTAGAAATTCAATAATGCTCATAAGCTTTCGTAATACATACATACGTTTATATAAATTAATATTATATACATATATTCGTGATTAAGTTCATTGCCATATTCAATAACGATTTTTCAATCGTGATCATATTTACATACTGTGTACATCATTTAGTAATTTTTCTCGTCTTTTTATTTATTTATGTTTATATATAACATATATATATATATATATATATATATATAAACATAAATATATTCAATTTGTGGGCATAAAAAACATAATTATTTAAAGTTTTAATAAAATCTTGATCGTGAGATGGATTTCATCATTTATATTTTTGAAAACAACAATTTAAAAAGTAAGTTTTAAAATATTATATATATATATATAATTTTATATAACAATATAAATATTATTATATATGCATATCATATTACTCATACTAAAAATTATTCATACCTGATGTATTTTTTTACAAATTTTCAATTTTTGCGCAAAAACCATTTATAACATCTACAGCAATTTCAAGAATAACCATAAGATTACTTTATATCACAATTCATTCAATTTACCGCCCACTCTGCATCACCAAACAAGTACACACATTGAATATTAACATACGCAATAGAGGTTGCATGTATGACGTTCAAATAGAAATTTAAAACTTTCAATGCCACACAGATCTTAAGTCGATTCAAATATATATTTCATAACTCGATTCACAAATTTATTAATCACAATATAAAAGTGAATCAATGAAAAATTCTACCTTTTGTTGCCGCGCTGGTTGCCGGGCGACTAGTGTCGAGAATCGGCTACGGAAACTTAAACTAAACCCACTCAGTGGGATCTCAGTAGGAACATTTCCAACCTCCCACCACGGAGAAGGCACCCCACTAGTATAACGCAATAGAAGGAAATACTCACGTATTTTGTAAGGGTTAATAATAAAGGTTCCTGACCTCGCCGAAGTTCGAAACGTTTAGGGGAGCTTTTTAAAAAGTGATATGTCGACGGCCTGATTCCTCAGAATTGTGGACAAATAATGACTTATTATGGATTAATCTAGGCCAAGAACCTGTACGTACATGTAATTTGATAAATAATTAAATGTATTGACGACGTATTTAGGGAAAATTCTCCTATAAATATATGGACTCTTTTAAATATATACTTGTATCAATATTGAATTTTTAATATAATTAGCAGCCACTTCGAAGAATTAAAAAATTGAGTAATATTTTCACTTCTTTATTTGAACGTTTCGACACTTGATATGTACCATCATATAGCAAAATATACCAGAAAGATAAAAAAACACAGTTTTTCACAGTTCGATTTGAATAATGATGGATTGAGCATCATGGCTTTGTCAAAAAATTAGGATGTTATTTTTATTTTCTAATTATAGTTATGTTTTGATATTTATTGTTAATTAAAATCATCTAAAAATATTTTAAATTTTGTTTCAGTAAGTTGACGAGTGACGACACGTTTAAATAAAGAGGTGCTACTATTTTTCAATTTCTTAATTCGATGATTTAGCTGCTATAATTACTTATATTATATATATATATGTATATATATATATATATATATATATAATTTTCAAACTTCTGATTATTAATCTCCATTTTCTTTAAAAAACTTATTTGTTGGAATTTTCTTTTATTAAATTTATTCAAAGTTTCAGGTATTAAGATGCACCCTTCTTCAGGAACTATTGATAACAATTTTTTCTTATTATACATTAATACACTTAAAGTTATTTGATTTTGGTTATCTTTAACAATATAACTGGATTAAACCAGAGTCATATTTTCATGACCTGGATGATTACCAAATATTATAAACTTATGAGAATAAAAATACTCTTATGAGAGTTGCACTTCAATGATATATTACATCTTTGATATTTTAGCTCAATTCTTTTATATATAATTACTAAATTACTAAATTATGATAAATTTGCTTAGTAGTTATGTGTCATAAATAAATTAGGTTCATAATTTATCTCCACGCAAAAATTAGACCGTTAGATCATCAAAATTTTATTCAATCAGACCCATAGGCGTAGCCAAAGGAAATCTCTAGAACTTTTAATATTAACTGAAATTTATAGAGATGTTAATAATGTCTTATTTTGGTCTGCCCCACCTATAATAATAAAAAGCTACGCACATGGTCAACCATATAGCAAATATATAAACACCTACGATCAATGTAAATAAAAAGTGGTTTTATTTCTTTGCTTCATGTGTAAGAATGACATCATGAATAAAAATATTGATGCAAAATTTCTATGATTGTACTTAAGTAGTATAATATAATAAAACGTGTTTCAGATAAATGTAGTACATTTGGGAATATTTTAGACGTACAGCTTCCTTATATAAAGTTCCTTATAGTAAATCTGTAAAAATAAAATTATGCGCATATTCTATTTAGAAATGAAAAATATAATAAAAAATAATTTTTGCTACTTTGTTAAAATGAGCCTTTGATGTTATCTTCAGTTATTTAAAAATGAAGACCATAATGGAAAATAATTTATGGTTACTTTGTGTAAATGAATCTTTGATATTTATTTTACCATTTGGAAATTAAGTCTGCAGGGAAATTTATTGCTACTCATTTGTCAAAATGAACCTTCGGTATTATAAAAAACAGCTAATAAATATTTTAAAAATAAATTAAAAGATAATCTAAAATGCTTTCAAGTAATATAGCATAAACAATTATTTTAACTTTATGTAGAACTTATTACTAGCTTAAAATATATTAATTATCATAACTTCAAATATATTGTCATTTTAATTTAAACTTTAGGTAATATAATTTTGAAATTCGCGCTCAAGGTTTCAACAGCGACATCTAGTTCTTAAAAGCAATACTCCGTAAAGCAAACTCCGTAATATTAATTGTCAAACATTTTAAATGTCAAAATAACCTCATAAATATTGTTCGAAAACCATAAAAATATTTTTTTTTAATATATATATAGATAATATGTGTTGATTTTCCATTAGGACAAAATGCCAAAATATGAAAGGTATTAAAAATATAAGCTAAATACGTGTAGGTTATTAAATAGTACAAAATTTAAGCATATGAATTGATTATTTAATTTCCTGACAGAAAAGAAATAACATCTAGGGATAGAAGATATTCAAGAGATAGGTCTCTGTCAGAAGAGCGTTCTTCTAAAAAGTCAAGAGAACGCAGCAAAACTAGATCACGTAAATCAGACCATAAATCAAAGAAGAAAAGCAAAAGTCGAGACAGATCTAAAAGTAGATCTAGGAAGAAGAAGCACCGCCAAAGGTAGATTTCTTTTTTCAATATTTTATAATTATTTTCATAAAACATTCTTGATTAATGGATTTTTATAGGAGTAGTTCATCATCAAGTTCTGTCTCATCTGATGGTTCATTAAAACTATTACAACGACTTCAAAATGAACGCATACAACAAGCTCTTGAGAAGAAACGAGAGAAAGAGGCTATGAAAGCCAATGAGACTCCTGAAGAAAAACGTGCAAGGCGCCTAAGAGAAAAGTTAGAAAAAGAACGTAAACGAAAAGAAAGAATGGGATGGGATAATGAATATCAACATTACACAAATACTGATAATCCTTTTGGAGATGGTAATTTAACAAGTACATTTGTATGGAGTAAAAAATTAGATAAAGAAGGATTAAAAAACATCAGCCATGAAGAAATAGAAGTTAGAAACAGACACAAGCAACTTGAAAATAAAATGGAATTGGAAAAGGTGAATTTTTCTTTGAATATTGTAATAGCAATTACAATTTACTTGTTAATTACATATGAAACTTGTGAATTAAATGGTAGGTATTTTATTTATATTAATATTTGTGTGAATAAATAGGTTAAAAAAAGAAGACTAGAAAGAGAATTAGAAAAACAACAACGTGAAGAAGAACAGTCAATGATGCAACGCAGCAAAGAAGCAGCACAATTTGAGGAATGGGAACGACAAGAAGATCGTTTTCATCTTGAGCAAGCAAGACTACGCTCCTGTATACGTATACAGGATGGACGAGGTAATACAATTGAAGAGAATCTTATTGCAGTATTAATTTTTATACAAGTTTTTTAACAATTAAACATCATTTTATTTATTTAAGCAAAACCAATTGATCTACTTGCAAAATATATTAACTCTCAAGATGAAGTTGATGCAGTGGAAATGCATGAACCGTATACATATCTCAATGGATTAGATGCTACAGATTTAGAAGATTTGATAGAGGATATAAAGGTATATAAACTAATAACATTGAAACATAATATCAGCAAATTTCTGCATATTTGCACGTTTTTTTTTAAAATTAGCTCTAATCATAATCCAATAATAATATGTAGTATTAATGTATAACTTTTTTAATATCATATATTTTTATATAGGTTTATAAAGAATTAGAAAAAGGAAACAATATAGATTACTGGAATGATTTGACCGTTATTGTTGAAGATGAATTGCATAAACTTAGAAAAATTGCTGGGCAAGCAGAATCTGCAGCTGTTGTTCGCAGAGAAGGTAATAAATAATAAAAGAGCAAAGTGGTATTTTATAACCACCGACATATACCATTTTCTTTACAAATTAAATACTTTTAATTACAAATATTTATTTTTTATATAGGTATTCATCAAGCAGTTGTAAAGGATGTTACAGAAGTGTTCAAGGGTAAAACAACAAACCAGTTAGACCAATTGCAGAAACAAATTGAGAATAAAATTTCTGGTACAACTACTGATGGAATAGATATAGGATATTGGGAATCATTGTTATCCCAATTGAAGGGTAAGTCAATGAATTTTACACATTATAAGACATAGAAATTTATTATTATTTATTTCAATGTTTTCTTTAGCTCATATGGCAAGAGCCAGACTTCGAGATAAGCATCAAGAGATATTAAAAGAAAATTACAATTACTGCAAGCTGAACAACAAGTTTCTACAAATTCTGAATCCGTTGAACCTGTGGCAGAATCAAGAGTTCCGGTTGAATCAAATCCAGGGCAAGCTGTAAATAAGCCAAAAGATAATGATCGCAAAGAAAATACTGAAAACAGTGAAGAAGAAGTAGATTATGATAGGTAACATTCTAAATCCTTATTATTTAGACAATGTCTAATTAACTTTCTTCATTAATTTTTCAGTGATGAGTCACAATCTCCGGCAAGAGATTTACTAACTGCGTCATTTGCTCTTTATGAACAAGGGTGCTACAGTCCTGTTTATTTAACACCTGCCCAATTAGAACCAGGAACTGTTATCGTTGAAGAGGAAGTGGACACTAAACGATTAGAGTTCAAAAGAGACACAATACTTAATGGAAGCAGTAATAAAGAAGTAAGTATTTATATCAAATATGTAAATACAACAAAATAATTGAAATAGGGATATATGCAAATATATATAATCTTATTTTTTAGCAGAGCTTGTCCAAGCTTGAATTAAGCCTTCGAACTGAAGCGCGTCGTGGGATGGGTGGCGATGAAGCAGAATTTTCTGTTGAAGCAGGAATAGGTGAATTCGATATTCCTGTTTATTTATGGTCTGATAAATACAGACCGCGAAAACCAAGGTATTTCAACAGAGTGCACACTGGTTTTGAGTGGAATAAGTACAATCAAACCCATTATGATATGGACAATCCTCCACCCAAATTGTACAGGGATACAAATTCAATATATTTTATCCTGATTTAATAAATAAATCGGACACACCGGAATATTTTTTGGTATGTATAACTCAATACATAGTATTAATA